ACTGACTTGACTACATTTGGTTGAGCTACTTAGTATTTTCAAGAGATTTGTGATTTCAGTCTTGATGGCGATTATATACATATATATATATATATATATTGAAAATGGAAACAAGATGTTTTAGTGCTCGTGACTCATGTTCTTTTTTTTACAAACTCCCACAAATCTTTCTGATGTTAATTTATCATTGTTTTTTGTAAAAATATATTTCTTCATTCAGTGCCTTAAAAACTGGTCTTTTTTTTGTATATTTAATGTAATTTCCTTTTAAAATTATCAATTTAAAATTTATTTTCTCTTTTTTTTTTTGTTCATTCAATTTATTTTTCTTAATTAACAGAGTATAATAAAAAATAATATTTTTGCATAATTGAATTAACATTTTTTAAAGATTATATAATTCTTAAGTGAGGTCACTCCTGAATCATAACCTTACATTTTTTTCATGAACCTATTTTATTATTTTTTATACATATTAGGTATAATCTTTTTATATTATATGAAAAGATTTTGCAAAAACATCGGTTCAAAATGAACATAACCTCAAAATCCATTTTTCTATGTTAAAAAAATAGGTATGTATCTAAATATAACTTCCCCTTTTCCTTTTCCCCTAACCTCAAAATATAAGTTAAAACCTGAAAACATAACCTCAAAATTTTGGGTCATAAGTCAAGAGGGCGCTGAATATGATACTAAATCTTGTGTTTTTATACAAATTAAATTTTTGCATTAAAAAAAAAAAAAAATAATTGTTTTCACTTGAGACAAACACGTTTTGTATACATATATAAATGTAATTTCTATAAACAGTCACGATACTATTAATTTTCACTTGGTCACTTTTTAAGTCGAGTCATACGCACAGTTTCGCCTAATTGCACATTAGAAACCGGAATAATGTTATTACAACACCTTGCAGACGTAACTTATTCTATAAAGTATATATATATAGGAACAAATGCACGAATTGGAGCGGAAAAAAAATTGTAATTTAACTAACCGGTCCAGATTAAAAGATGTTGATAATAATTCAATCGTTTGTAAATGACATTAGAATATATTTATTAAAATTTACTTTTATTTATAGGAAAATGTTTCGTAACAATTGTATGTACATATATATATATATATATATATATATATATATATATATGGGACGTTCCGCGTCAACCGGATCAGTGCTCTGTACATAATTGTATGGGACCAATTGAAACGTTTAAGGTCTTAAAATGTTCATCTCGAAGTACTTTAACATTTACAATATGGCCTTTTTAAAAATCCAAAATGGCGGCCGAATTATGACACATTATATGGCTGAAATGTAGAAAATGTATAATTAAAACATTATTTAAGAAGCAAAAAATGTACGAATTGGCATTAAATTGATCATCAACAGTGCTAGGGGTTTACAGAATCAAAAAATGCTGACACTTTTCAAAATTTTCAAAAATACAAAATGGCAGATCCAAAATGGAGGAATAGTATTAAAAATATGACTCAATTTACTCGAAACTTAGGAACCGGGGGTTTTTGGGGTCGCTGATTACAAATCTGAACTCAGTTTTCAAAAATACAAAATGGCGGATCCAATATGGCGGACTGTTTTTGAAAAAATTACCCAATTCAATCGAAACTTGTGACTCGGGGGTTTTTGGGGTCGCTGATTACAAATCTGAACTCAGTTTTCAAAAATACAAAATGGCGGATACAATATGGCGGACTGTTTTTGAAAAAATTACCCAATTCACTCGAAACTTGTGACTCGGGGGTTTTTGGGGCCGCTCTTTACAAATATGAACTCAGTTTTCCAAAGTACGTTCTATAAACATTTATTTTTTATCAATCTCTCTACCTTTTAAGAATTAGGACTGTATGAACATGTGTCTTTTAAAATTAGCATTACGTAATATTATTTTCTGCACTAAAATACGTACTTGTTATGATATTTTACACGCAATAAACTTGAAGCAGTCATTTTGATATTTTATTGAATTTTGTAGATATTTTTCCAAAATTTAAGGCGGAATGCTTTTTAACCTAGTTGAGATTTTTGTTGATTAAACATACACCTTATTTTGTTTGTAATTCTGCAAACTTCCTTAAATTAATTTGAATTTTGTATTTTTGAAAACTGAGTTCAGATTTGTAATCAGCGACCCCAAGAACCCCCGGGTCCTAAGTTTTGAGTGAATTGGGTAACTTTTTAAAAAACAGTCCGCCATATTGGATCCGCCATTTTGTATTTTTGAAAACTGAGTTCAGATTTGTAATCAGCGACCCCAAAAACCCCCGAGTCACAAGTTTCGATTGAATTGGGTAATTTTTTCAAAAACAGTCCGCCATATTGGATCCGCCATTTTGTATTTTTGAAAACTGAGTTCAGATTTGTAATCAGCGACCCCAAAAACCCCCGGTTCCTAAGTTTCGAGTAAATTGAGTCATATTTTTAATACTATTCCTCCATTTTGGATCTGCCATTTTGTATTTTTGAAAATTTTGAAAAGTGTCAGCATTTTTTGATTCTGTAAACCCCTAGCACTGTTGATGATCAATTTAATGCCAATTCATACATTTTTTGCTTCTTAAATAATGTTTTAATTATACATTTTCTACATTTCAGCCATATAATGTGCACTGTTAGAAATCGGACTCCAACTTTACACCGAAAAGTTTTAAATTCAAACTGTTTGAGATTGAATTATTCGGTTTCACACTCAAGAGTTTGAAATGTTGAAAGTTCAATCTCTAGAAGTTTGAATTTCAAACCGTCGTGGTTTGAAATGCAGAGTTGCGCGCGCCTCTCCCACTTTTACAGAATTCGTAAACATCCCTTAGACGAATATACCTGACGGCTACACGATTTGCCTATTTTCCTGAATAAATCAGTCCATTAGCAAATTTTCTGATCGGTTTTTTAATTCGTCTCAAGCGTTTTATATTAGGCCAATAGAATAAAACGATTATAATTATTATTCAAATAATGTTATTTAATTACTAGCAATATTAAACGCGCGCAAGCGCGCCAAATTGAGTATTTAATTGTTTGTTATAAAGAAATTAAAGATTAATATTATCAAAAATAATTTAAATTTATTAGAATATTATTTCATATTAAATGATTATAATGAAAATTATTATTATATGTTATTAAATTATATATAATATTGAATTATTTTCCAACTTTTCAATTTAAAATTCAATTATTTACCAAGTTTTCAATTTAAAATTAAATAAAATTCAATTATTATACAAAATTTCAAATTCAAAATCAAAGGAAATTCAATTTTTCCCAAAATTTCAATTCAAAATCTTTTAAAATTCAATTATTTTCCAAATTTTCAATTTAAAATCAAATAAAATTCAATTATTACCCGAAATTTTAATTCAACATCAACTTAAATTAAATTATTATCCAAAATTTCAATTAAAATTCAATTATTTTCCAAAATTTCGAGTCAAAATTAATTATTATAAAAATTTTCAATCAACAATCAACTAAAATTAATTATTATAAAAATTTTCAATCAACAATCAACTAAAATTAATTATTATCCAAATTTTCAATCAACTAAAATTAAATTATTTTCAAAATTTTCAATTTAAAATTCAATTATTTACCAAGTTTTCAATTTAAAATAAAATAAAATTCAATTATTTTTTAAAATTTCTATTCAAAATTAATTATCGAAATTTTCAGTTAAAAATGAACTTAAATTAAATTATTATCGAAAATTTCAATTAAAATTCAATTATTTCCCAAAATTTCAATTCAAAATCAATGAAAATTCAATTATTTTCAAAATTTTCAATTCAAAATCAAGTAAAATTGAATTATTTTCTAAATTTAAAATCAAATGAAATTTAATTATTTTCTAAAATTTCAATTCAAAATTAATTATCAAAATTTTCAATCAAAAATCAACTAAAAATGAATTATTATAATTAAAAATTACTTGAAGTTCAATTAATTTCAAAAATCTCAATTTTAAATCTTTGAAAATTCAATTAAATTTAAAAAATGTTTTCCAAAAATTGTTTGATAAATTATTTTTAGTTCTGTAAAATTTAATAATTGTTTGAAAATTAACAATATCTTTTGAAATTTAATTATTTCTAAAAATTTCAACTTTAACCCTTCGAAAAGTATTATTTAAAAAAAAAATTTTTTATTTAAAAATCTGTAAAATATTTTTGTTAAAATAAAAAAAATCTACTTTTTTTCGGAATATAAATCGACTAAAACGACTTTTTTTGTGTCTTTAAGTTGATCCAAGGCCTGTGTTTTTATAATTAATATTTAATAGGTATTCATTGGCCCCTGGTACCTTAAAAATAAATTTTTTCAAACACAAAATAATGTCAAACAACAATATTTAAAAAAAACAAAAGACCTATAACAAATACCAACTTCAGGTGTGGACAGAATGAACGAAAGATATTCACGATTATTATATGTAATTATCAAATAAATATTTTTTTGTAAAATAAATACTAGTATTTATTATTATTTATATTATATATATATATATATATATATATATATATATATATATAAAACTAGTACTATTCAATTAAATAGTATTTGCTTTAAATACAGAAATTATTGGTTTTATTATCGTTTAATTTATTAAAATGAATATTTATCTGAAAAATAGCTAAGTAACTGATTATTCATATTATTTATTTAAAAAATGTGCGTGTAGCAAATCTTAAAAACTTTTAAATTGATCTATATCGGAAAGGTAGAGTGTAAAAACTCGTAACTTAAAGAAAAAACAATATTTAAATATTTATATTAAATATATATAATATTATTTATACATACAAATAAATGGAACATATTGTTACAGAACAAAACTTTTTTGACATTTTAATAAATTTTATTTAGTTAAAGTAATTATGCATAATATGGTTGGATGTCTTATATAATCAATACAAAGAGTCATATTTATAATAAATTTAAAGAAAAATTATTTTGACATGTACTTATTAACGTATCCAATGGTTTCATTTTATACAGAATAACTAAAATCAGTGACGTTAGTATGAGTTCATTAAAAACAAAATTTGAAGAATGATTATACAAGAAATACATTCATATTTTTTTAATTCTATATCTAGTTAATTCTGTATTTGGGAATAATGTAATAATCAGTTGTGTGGTAAGGTTGATGTAATTCGTAAGAGATAACGTGTGTTAAAGTTTTTAAGTCACATATTATTTTTGTTGACCCTTCCTTTGGTTCGATTTTGTATCCTAAATATATGTCGTCATATTCTACTGTTTCGTACGGTTTACAAATCGCGTAGGCAGAATTACAAGCTACGAATAACTCTACAATTTTAAAAAAGAATGGAAACTCCGAAGAATTTTCTTTTTTTGTTATAAAAAATCCTACCCTGTACTCAACACGGAAAGACAGTTTTTCAACTTTATAAACAAATTTAGGAAAATCTTTTAAAAAAATGTTATCAATCCCATTCTTTGTAAGACATTCTTCGAATAAAACATATTTCCCGGATTTTGCGGAAACTACTTGTTCCACTCTTTTATCACAATTAATCCACTGTTCATAAATAAATTTTTGGTGTTGTTCAGCTAACGTCTTAATAACATTTATAAAATTTTTCATTTTATGCACTAAATCTTTAAAATAGTTATGCTTTCCTTCGAAGCGCAATGTCCATAAAAATATCAGTGGTCCCATTAACTTTATTACTAATGGATAGTGCAATAAAAAGTGATGTTTTGGCAATAAGTGGTCTCCCAAAAATTGTAAAAATAAAGAATGATGCTGGACAATCAATTCCTTTAACTCAGCAACCATAGCATTAGAAAAAACTGGAGAGTATACAATCTGCATGATTTGTAACAAGAGCTTAAGAACCTCCCATTTTTCAATAATAGGATCAGATTTTTCATATGCTTTTTTTAAGACATCACTTAATATAAGAGGTAAATACATGCTCAAGCATCGAGTTTGAGCGGCTCGTTGACCTACCCGGTTGCCAGGTTTTTTCAAAACTATAGGACTGGGCTTATTTTTTGACTCGTTAATACCATAACTAAATATCTTGATACGTTCATTTAAATCGATAAGTTTTATCAGCTTTCGAACTTCAACCGCTTCCTTAAGAAATAATTTAATTTCTAATTGAAGTAAGCCTTCTGGAAGGTCATGTGCTATGTCAACTGAAAGGCAGTCAAACGGATCAAAATGAGATAATTCAGAAAAAATTGTTTCAAATTTGCAACCAATAGTGCGCGAAAATTCATCGTCTTCACAACGCGGATTTAAAATTTCGGACCGTAAATACTCCTCCTTTTCTAGAATCATAGTTTTTGCTTCTTCGTAAGAAACCGTGCAAATCCTACAATAATATGTATTCGCAAAGGATTCAGGTAAAGCATACAGCATATTGCCTCCTAAATTATCAAAAGAAAATGCAGCGATTGTACCGCGAATCGTATACTCTCCAATTGGAATACCTCGAGATTCAAAAATTTTTAGGTCATCAATTAATGGTCGTAAAATATTAGACATTCCGCACGTTTTAATATCTGCTGAATAAAAGAGAGCAACTAACATAATATTTTCTAAACAAGCATTAAATTCGTTTGGTAAATTACGAAATGTACAGTAAATTGCACCAAGTTTATGACCTCCCGTTTTGCTGCCTAAAGGGTTTACAGTCTCAAATTCGTCAAAGTAAAAAAGTAAAGCAACATTAGATTTATTTAATTTAAATAACAAATGTCTTTGATAATACAAACCATCTCTGAAGCTTGTGATAAATTCTGTATTTTGATCAGTATCTTTCAAAATCTCTTGCATTACATACTTATTTGACAAGACAAATTTAACAGTTTGCAATATCGGAATGTAAGCAACTTTACACGGAACAGGAATAGATTTGTAAACGCCGGTTTTTTCGTCATAAATTTCCTCTTTTCTTGTACCGATAGTTAAGTATGTTGGTTTAATGAAATTTTCGTCTATTGAACTCATTTTATTTCTCCTGTAAGTAGAACTTACATCTTTATAACTTTCCCGTTGATTATTTACATATTCGCGAAGATTTTCAGAAAAAGAGGAAGGATCGTTTGCATATATATCTCCGATATCATCAAATGCACTATCCAACATATATGAAGTTTCTTCAACAATTTTATTAACTGTAGCTTTAGGTAAGCTTGAAGAGTCTAACTTCATTATAAATTTTTGAAATAAATTCTCTTTTTTGCTTTGCTTTTCAGTTTGTTCATCTATATTTAAGCTATCAGCAATTTGTGAACCGGAAGAGGCGTCAGAATGCGTTATAGGTTTTTCAAAATATGATTCTTGGAAGTTTTCACTTACAGAATTAAAAGAAATTAAGTTTTGAGTTTCTGCAGTGTTTACCACTTCTATTAAGTCTCCACTATTTTCGGTTAAAATTTCACTAGAACTAGCTTTCCTTTTAATACTTGTTCTGATGTTAGAATGTTGCTCTTTTTTATTTAATACGTCATCTATATTAGACAAATTTAAAGGATTACTTTCGAAAATTAAATGATTTCGAAGGTGTTCGCGAAAACTTTTATAATTTTGAAAAGTCTGTTGACATGAATCTGTGCAACATTTCAGGGATAAAAGTTTACCTTCAAACAAACCATGTTTTCGGCGAAGATGAGAACATGTTTCGTCAATTGTAGTTAATTTTGCCTGACAAATAAAACAAAAAAAAGACATGTTTTTTCTACAAATTTGGTAGGATGACGATTTAACTTCTTATTGCCAAAACATCATTTTTTAGTTATTACAAATATAAAAATAAATATATTCTATCTTATAAATATAATCACTAATTTAACAACAATAGTGAATATATTATTTTTTTATCAGAGAAAATTAAAACAGTCTTAAATTCTCAATACTGTTTAAATCACAGAAAACAATTTAAAGGAACTGGCATTTATACCAACTAAACTTTCAGGTAAAACTGGATTTAAAATTTAAATTAAAAACAAGATTATTTGTAATCTGTTAGAAAAAATTAATTCTCAATCGCAAGCTTTCTACGAATCTCTTGCATTGTAGGAGTCAACCCGTTATTTTGATTTAATCCATAAAACACATACTCGACGAAGTGATAAAAGTTCTTTAAATTGTTATCGTAACTCGTGTTGAAAACAAAATGACTTTTAAATAATTCGTCTAATGCATCTATAGCATTATTAGCTACAGCTGGGATAAAATATTCTTCAAATGCAATGAAATAACTATTAATCAGATTTTTCCGTTGGCCGACTGCTACTAAACATGGTTGAGAAGTATATAACTTCACATTTTCCAAAATAGTTCCAGTCTGAAAAACATAACAATAATTATAACTCACAAATCAATAATTTGTTTTTCCTTCAAATAAATTCTTAATATGGAGATAAACATCCGAAACATGCCTTAGAGAAGGTAATTAATTTGTGTGGATTATCAGCAACGGGTCCAGAAATATCTTTTTTTCGTCCTCTACTGGATGGAGGTAATTGTTTTAGTAAAGTTAAAACAGCTTGAATATCCTCACTCCAATCTGAAATATCTGAAGTAAAGCAACACAAAATTAATAGTTATGAACGTTTAAAATACTTTTTAAAATAAAAAAATGGAAAATCAGATTTTTTCTAGAATATATATTTATCAAATACTAATCAACTTTTTAAAATGTCATGCAAAAATAAATTACTTATTTCAAATTAAACTATCTGACTAAATCAAATGTTTGTTTTTTATTTTTTAAAAACATGGTTATAGTAGATTAAATGAATGTTTTTAATAAGTGTGCATTACAAACGAACCTGCATCAGTTTTTTTCTTTTTAGCTTCTTGTGAACTTGTACTTTTACCAAAAATCTCTAATATTTGCGTAGAAGGGAAATTCTTCATTTGCAAATTTGGGTGCATTAATGAAAAATCAAGGTTTATCTACAATAAATTGCTTGTTAAAATTCTATAAACATTAATATAAGGATACTTTTTGAAGTAAATGATTTTAATAATTATAATATAAGAAAGGAGTATAGAGTATACATACTAAGCCAGGTGTATCCAAGAAGCGCGGAAATTTATTCAAAATTTCGATCGAATTATTTCTTCGCATAGAGAAAGTTACTTTCATTGCTTTTACAATTTCTTCTTTTCGCGTTTTTGGATCAGCTGTTTGAATAAAATTCAAATTTTCCTGCAATTCTTCTTCAGAGACAAATAATGGAATATTTTCATTAATCTCGATTGCCGCCATAACAGTTTTTGGTTTGCCTTTTTTGCCATCTGTATTTCTATTAACGGTTTTTATACGATAAGTAAAGAATCCCAATCCTGTTTTTGGATTAAAAAATGCTTCCTAAAACAATCAATTTAATTGTAAATTAAGTTAAGAATTTTAGTTTTGTAAGAGAAAAAAGTTTTTAATTTTTATTAAATGATACATTATTTTTTAGATTTAATAAATTGTCATTATTAAAAGTTGTACGTACATAACCGTATTCAGAATACTTGTCTTTTAATGTGGGAAAAAGTTTTACCAGTTCATTTGCATATTGCATTTTTATACTTTTCGGAATTGTTTGTCCACATTTTGACAACATAATTTGAACAGTAATGTTAACTAATTGTCGACGACTTCTTGTATCAAAATCTTTGCTTTTATTGTACTCTTCAATTATCTCTATTCCCCCTGGAATGCTTTCAATTTCTTCTTTAAGATTCTAAAAAGTTTTTTAAATTTAATATTACGAAAATACTTTTTAAGGAGAGAGACCAGTGAAATTTCAACCCTTCTAAATTTACGCTGTTGAATTTCGCAAATTTTTCTCTGGCATTATTTAGGATCTAAAATTATTATATATTATTAAAAATTAAAAATAAAACTTGTGGCAACCCTGAATCATGAAAAAGTGTATAAAAAATTTTTCATTGAAAAATAATAAAGAGTGCGAGAGAAGTTGAATTTTAAAAGAATCACCAGTAAAATTTAATTTAATTACAATTGACCTTGTTCAGGGGTAACAATTTTTTTTGACAATTATTCAAAACCTGGCATCATATTACACTATGAAAAATTAAAAAAATTAATTTTCAACTATTTTAGAATTTTTTAAAGAAATTTTTTACATACTGCAATTTTTCAAAATCAATGTGGCATGTTCAGAATTATAATAAACGCGTATAAAAAATTGACAATGAAAAATAGTAGAAATTATGAGAGAAGTTTAAATTTTTTTATTTTTATACAATTTTAAGTTTTATTAAAAAAATTATTAACTAAATTAATTTTTTTTTCAATTTTTCATAGTATATTGTAATTTTAAATATTCAGTATCGTCATAAAAAATTGACTCCCCAAGAAAAACAAATTTCGGAAATTTCATTGGTCCCTACTCTTAAGTGTTAAAAAATGTTAATAAACCATCTTACAAATTGAACAAGTTGTGATTCTTGAATTTCAGAGTCCAGTTCATTTCTCTTGCTAAACTGATTTCCAGAAGAATGTTTATTTAAAAGGTTAGATTGATTTGTAGGACTTTCCAATAATTCATTGCTACTGTCGAGAAAAGCAAGATTACTAATAATATTGCTGTCAAGCAATACCTGAACATCTATAAGTAAAAGCAGAAAATATTTCAATAATAAAAACAAAATCAAAGTAGACAATCTTTACAAAATTAAATAATTCAATATAAGAAAATAAACGTAAAAAAAATTTATGACTAAAACATTAAATATATTTTTTTTAAAATAATACTTTCTTTCTGAAACTTAATTAAAATTTTTAAAAGTATAAACTTATAAATTTAAATCGTCTCTAATTTAACAAAAAGTGTATATTTAAATCACCTTGGGTTTCTTTCATCGACAAATCTTGATTAAATTCTATCCTTTTCATTACAGAAATGACCTTTGTTTCGAAATATTCGAAGGTGTCCTCTTCAATGATAACACCATCCTCATCACTAATTGACAAATCTTTTTCATTTATTTTATTTTGTACTAAAAAAATGTGGACAAAAATTCTTTTAAAATCACAATTACTGAACTGAGAAATGCCGGCCGGAATAACAAAAATGATTTGATACGAACTTTTGAGGTTATGTTACAAATAAAAATAAATCTATGCTTTTATATTCTCTACATGCATTCTATTATTGGATAATTTAAGAGCAGTATTATTGAAAGTGTAAATATAATATTAACTAATAAATTAAATACGAAGTAGTCAAAATTATTAATATTTACCTGCTGTTAAAAACTCTTCATAAGTCGCCTTTTCTCCTTCACAAGGCACTTTAATCCATGAAAGCTTACCATTGAAAATAAATTTTCTCAATTCTGAGTTCATTTTTTCAAAACTGTTCACAATTAATTAAACTATAATTACACATTCACTACATTTCACGACCACGTTGTGCACAGAATTGTTAATGATGCCGATGATGCATGAATACTCGTTCTCTTCTGTGAGAAAGAGAGAGACAACATTACATTTCAAACTGCGACGGTTTGAAATTCAAACTTCTTGAGATTGAACTTACAATATTTCAAACTCTTGAGTGTGAAACCGAATAATTCAATCGCGAAAAGTTTGAATTTCAATCTTTTAGGTTTGAAAGACCTGCATTTTCAAACTTTTCGGTGTAAAGTTGGAGTCCGATTTCTAACAGTGTGTCATAATTCGGCCGCCATTTTGGATTTTTAAAAAGGCCATATTGTAAATGTTAAAGTACTTCGAGATGAACATTTTAAGACCTTAAACGTTTCAATTGGTCCCATACAATTATGTACAGAGCACTGATCCGGTTGACGCGGAACGTCCCATATATATATATATAAAATATACTTTTATCTTTTCCGTGACATGTGTATATACTAATACGGAACCGGAAGTTTTCATCATTGGAGAAATTTTATAAAATATCAATAATTAAAATTGCAATTCATTAAAGATTACATTATTTGAAAAAAAATTTAATAATGATAATTATTTTTAAAGAAAAAGATGATGTAAATTTTAAAAAAGCTTCGTTGAAAAAAGTAATTTAATTTTAAAAAATTTAAACAATTGAAGCGTTGAGTGCAAGAAGGGCATTAGGCGGATAACGCCCTTTTTGATGTTATAGAATAAAAATGATGACAATACACTTTTCCACCTGGGTTAGTTTATATTACCAAAAATTCATTTCGATAGAAAGCTTTTTAACGAAGCTAGAATTGCATTTACAGTTTTTAAATAATTGAAGATTAAAACTTTAAATTGAAATATCTCCGTTCTTTTTTTTTTTTTTTGTTATACGCCTTATTTCTTGCACCCAACGCCTCAATTAGACAATGCATTTAAAAAAAGTTAATTAGGAAACAATTTAGGTAACATAAGCTAAAAACATGTAAATAATTAATTAATTTGTTTATATTTATTAATGATATTAATATTTAATTGAAGCTAAATAGAATTAAATCAATGATTTGTTTAAAAATACAAGTAATTGAAGCATATTAAAATTTTTAAAACTACCAATCAACAAATAAAATTATAATTAATTATAGAAACTAATTGAAGTTGCTATTTTCTTAATTGGAAACCACTCTACAATTTATTGAACCTATTATTATTATTATTATTATTATTTAAAACAAGCTTTTTGAAAATTACAAATCTTATCCTTTGGAACCTTTTTTTTTTAATTCTAAAACAACAATTAATTACTATAATCAAATATATTTATAAAACTCGTTCTACATCCTTTTTACATCAACTATATTTTAAATCCGGAAATATTTATCAAGGCAAACAAGAATTCGTGAACTAGATCTGTATTTAAAATGAAGTGTGAAAAAAAATATTTTTGACAAAATTAACAAAATTTATTTAATTTCAAAAAATGATAAATTGACTATTTGTTTATAACCTTTGTATTAATGTTGCGCACTTAAAAAATTATATATATTTTAATGTCCTTCAAGATATTTCAACTTCCATTTTTGACATTAATTGTAAAATGCAAATTGTCTGTCAAGTACGTGACACTTTTTAATTTATTGCCATTGTACTGGGAAGTGTACTTTGTTGTCTCGATTTCTTGAAGAATGAAAAAAATATATAAATATAATTTTTTTTTTATAGTTGGGCATGTTTTGACCCTGAAAGAGTCGCAAACATGAAAAGTAACACATTGGGTGGTACTGAGCTGAACTGGTACCACTCCCATTGCCTTCCTCGTTCATTCTTCAAAGCGGATGTTGAGTCGTACAGAAACTCATTCATTTTTACAATATATATATATACCTCAGTTTGCAATTGACATGACAGAGTTGCGTACATGAGTGCGTTATATATACATTTGGAACACCTTTTTCCGATTTTATATTAGACATATATCAAAAGTAGAAATTGTATTTTTACTAAATCATATGTGCCAAACTTCTCGAGGGGAATTGTATTCATATATCTATAACGAAAACCAAGGAATTAAGTTACTTTCATTTGTTCGAATTATTATTTGATATAATATCCACACTGTAAAAAGAAAGTACTAAAACAGTACCGCTTTGAGGTATCAAAATAGAACCAAATGACAATTTAGTACCTAAAGTCGGTATTAAATTAATACCTTTCTTTTTACAGTGCATACAACAGATTTTTCATACTACAGAATTTTTACTTAAGGGTTCATACCACTTTACACGCTTGAAAATGAAGCTATTTTCTATAATTTTTTTTACGATTCCTAAGGATTATATTGATCTGCATTTTTTTTTAGTTCAATAAATACACTCTTTAACTTTATAAAAAACCTCATTTTATTCAAAAAATATTATTTGTTTATATATAATTTAACAATAATTTTAGACCTGCTAAAAATACCGATGCCAGCTGCGGGATTGATTTCTCAGGTTAGAAAAATCTAAAACACAAAATTCAAGTTGATTTATCTTCAGTAGGACTGCACCTATCGCCCGAACTAGAATTTTTAATTTTTATGCAAAAATAACAAAATGGCGGCAATTTAAAATTTTTTTTTCGAAAATTAAGGTTTTTTTTGGCAGTTTTAGGGTTTAAAAAAATAGTAAAAATGAATATTTTTTCATAATTCTAGTTCCGGCGATACCCACTTATGTGACGAAGATTTTCGTAAAAAAATTTTGAGAATCGGTCCAGTAGTTTCCGATAAAAACATCCCGCGGTATGGAAAAATGTTGTTTTGAGAAAAACGAATTTAAAGTTTCGTATGAGTAACAGGCGCGCCAATGTACGCTCTCAAATAAAATCGTAAAAAATATATTTACACTGCTCAGATCTTTCTGCAATTTTTACACAACATTCCTGGAATGTCCATCTTTCGAAATCCGTAAAAAAAATCGATTTTTTGAAGTTGACAAAGTGGTATGAACCCTTAACCGAAAAATCATAGAATTTCTAATTGATAGAATTTTCATTTGTCTGGAAATTGCAAATGGCCGAACAAACAATCGACAGAAAGATTTCGTGCGGGATTTTTAAAATCAACCAATCACAATTTTATGGATAATTTTTGATTGGTTGATTTTAAAAATCGCGTCAAAATATTTCTTTCGATATTGTTTGTTCGGCCATTTGCAATTTCGGACAAATGAAAATTATATGAATTATAGAGATTCTGTTTTTTACAAAACTTTTTTATATATATAAAAAATTATATATATATTGTATAAGTTTGGGGTAAGATTTATTTATAAAGCCTCTCGCAAAAGAAAAATTAATTAAAGGAGAATAAAAAAATTATTGAAAATTATGACTAATATATATTTTACGATTATATGAAAACTATTCATTAATGGTAATTTAAATATTAATTGGAGATTGTGAGACTTGCAATATTTCTAAAAGCGTTTATAATAGACATAATAAATTTATCTATTGAGAATGTAAAGGGAATTTACTTTTTAGCTGTATATATAGCTAATTGTAAGTCTAATGAGCCTTTAGAAAATGAGTTTTAAAGTTTATAAAGCGACAAATTTCATTTTTTAAAATTAATTTCTTATTTCTTTATTATCGCAAAGTGAAAAGTTTTTATAAATTTTACTCTTTAATTATATGCAAAAATTTACTGTCCATTAAAATATATGTATAGTTAATTCTATTTACATACACATACAGAATTGTATAGAAAATCTTTTAAAGAGCATGAAATAAGCTATTGTTTGTAAGAGTTGGATAAAAATTACAATATTGTTTACTAATTTAAAACAAAAAAATATATTTATAATTTATAATTAATTATTGTTTAATAACAAATTTTTGCATAAAATTAATAATTTTGAAAATCGTAATAAATCTTTCAAAATTTGTTAAAATTAATTTTATTTATAGTTTTATTTGTTGTTAAAAATAATTTTTTAGTTTGAGGTTATGTTAATGTGCTAAGCACCCTTAAATCTATTATATTCTAACTGTAACAATAAAAATGCATGGAAAATATTCTTAAATAGACGCTAAGAAAGTACCTATATTATTCTGAAATTTATAATTTCGTTTTTTCGATGTATTTATAACATATTTATATTATAATTATATAATAAAATTAATTCTGAAAAGTACTATTTATTATTATCATCGTAAATAAATATAATTGTTAAAAATAAAGAAAAAACGCAAAATTTGGATAAAAATTTTCGCACTTTCGTAAAACTAATTTTAACTCTAAATTTAAATAAATGACGCGTCACGTATGAGCAATCACGTGTAGAATCCAATGAACCTGTATATGATAAATGAAAAATTACTTCCCAAATGGCAAACACAGTCATAGATTCTTAAATCAACTTCCGGTAGAAAGACTCTGGCACTTTAAGAGTTTGGATTTCGATTCTCTTTCTGTTTCTAAAGTACGTTTCACTTCTTAATTGGTAGATCGTTCAGATTGAATAATATCATACGAGCTGAGCGCCGCACAGAGAAGAGATGCGTTAGGTTAATTCAACAAAAGAAATTTTATATGGATGAAAAATGACTTTAAGCTTTCTTCTTAATTAAGTTGTTCTCGTGATTAACTTCTATAATAAATCATTTTTTACTTTCTTGGAATTTTTTCATATATATATATATATACTTTAAAACATTGTATATAGTAAAAAAAGAGAAATGTTAAAGAATTTAAAAAAAAAATATATAAATATTACAATTAAGTATAAATATCATTTTAACTGTTATATTTTATTTATAAACAAGTACATAATACCTCGACAACCAACGCAGTAGAGACATTAAATTTTTTACTAAAAAACATATATTTTTTTCCTATATAACACGCAGTTATTTTATGGGAGTACGCTAATTTTATATACTCGTTGTTGAATATGTCGACGTAATTTTCCAAGTTTGAAAAAAAGTACCCGCATACCGTAACTCTTTGTATTGTATATCGCCTATCGAAGAAACAAGTTTCACCTCTTTGCTATATATATATATATATATATTTATATGCGCTTTTTTTTCTCTTTATTTCTGCATGAGAGTGAAACTGAATTTACCGCGACTGTCCAGTTAACATTACCGATAACGCTTCTTTTGTAACCTACATTCCACGCGGTTTTTGCGTCATTTTATATATATATATAGTTTTTCAAGAATATGAAATGAAATTTATCATTTTTTTGTCAATGTAAATATGGGTTGCTTCCGTTAATTACGGTTCATTTAATATTCGTCCACAGGAGTCATATATGTGAGACGCGACAATTTTATAGAGGTCTTTAACCTCACATTATACGTGTCTGAAAATTCCTCTATATTGTCATTTTGTGTATAAAAAAAAACCTATTTTTGTATTTTAAAATTTAATTAATTTCAAAAAATTTTAATTTTTCTTAAATTTTATAATTGAGATTGAAGACCGTTTAAAAGTGAGAAAAAAAATTGGAAATTAAAATTTTTAAACGTACTACCATGTAGAGAAGAGGAAATGCACAACTTTTTTGTTGGGGAAATTTTTTTATAGGATTATTAGACGGAAAAAAAGAAAAAGTAACTTTTACTACTTTAAAAGTAAAATTGGACCTGTCCGAAGTTTCTGCGCATCTCTGGCAACTTTTACTCCAAAAATAGTAAAATTTACTTCAGAAATAGTAAAAATTACTACGGAAACAGTAAAATTTACTACAGAAATAGTCAATTTTACTATTTTTCGAGTAAAAGTTGCCAGAGATGCGCAGAAACTTCGGACAGGTCCAATTTTACTTTTAAAGTAGTAAAAGTTACTTTATTCGTTTTTCCATTTTTCTCCGTGTATTATTATTATTATTATTTTAATAATAATAAAGAAAAACTGAAATTTTTTTTCTTTCTTAATTTCATTGAAATTTAAAACATAAATCGTTCTATCTTAAACAAATTTTTACGAAATTAATTGAAATTTTAAGTTATGTTTGTCGGTACCAACGATCCTTTGAAATATGTCCTTGAATTTTAAGGTTATGTGTGATCTCTGACCATGAATCATGAAAACCTTGAATTTTAAGGTTATGTTTGATCCTTAAATCCTGGACACTTAGGAACTTGAATTTTGAGGTTATGTTCATTTTAATACTATGGGTCATTCTACGTCAAGAATAACCAACCAAACCTAACCTAATCTTATCAAAAACATGTGTTGGGTACACTTGATATGGAATGACCCATACTGAAGACAGCGACGAAATCTTTTTATAATATAAAAAAATATATATAAAGAAGTTTTCTGTGAAGTTTTAAATCATTTTTATATAAAACTTTAGGAAATATGACATTTTTAAAAATTGTAACTTGCGCGTCACTTTTAATTATAAACATGATTTAAAATTAGAACTACATTAATTAAAACGATTATTATTGAAGTAAGTAAAATTGCCTTATTATATATATATATATCTAAATGGTTGTTTTAAACGCCATTAATTAAAGATAATATCTTTTTAAATTACTACTTTTTTTAGTGTACTACTTTAACGTGGGCGTTAAAGATCGTATTTCCACCCATCATAAATTGCAATTAATTGTTTCGATTTGGAATATCGATTCTAATTCTCTTATTATTAATTCTCACTTTTTGGAAATGGAAGTCAGATTTTTAAAATTAATCAGCGATTCCAAATTATCATAGATATCAAGTTTTATGTTAATCTATTAATGTTTACAAAAAATTCATACACTACTAAAAATCAAATAAATGTATCTGAAGTTTATTTTGCTCCATAACGTGGAAAAAACGTGTTGTTTTCTAACTTCAAAAAACATAGCCGATTTTA